TATGGTTTTTATTAATTAACATATTATTAATTATTTATTTTTACCTTATGATTTATATAAATTAACATATTGTATATTAGTGAATTGTTTTAAATATATTATGAAATGTTAAAATTTATTATTTTTAAAACATGTTCTTTTTGGTTATCTTACATTAGTTAGCTTATCAGCTACCAACTAGCTTGTTAGTAATCAATTAGCTTATCAATTAGTAGTTTGCAGTGCGATTTGGTGTGGTGTGGGGCCAAACCACAAACTGCACCACATATGCGGTTTGAGCATTTTACAAAACTGCAAACCCCATCATAAAATGCGTGCGGTTTGTACCTATCGCACTTTATGCCTAAAATCCAATAACTTTAAGTTTAAAATACATTATAAAATCAACAATAGAGTAACCGTAATCTAAAAAAAAAAGTTTCAGTACATCTAATTTCCAAATAAATATTGCATAATTAAAAGTAGTCTAAGAAATAAAAAGAAATAAACTTCAAAGTAAATTGGAGTTGTGAGTTGTGATATGTCTAACTAATTTATTAATATTGCTTATTGTTATATTGGACTAAATTCAAATTTTAAACATAAAGTCCAAAAATATTACATAAATAACAAAAATATTCTATATATGTTATATAGTATAGTTTGATAAAAATGCAAATGCAAACCGTACCGTAAAAAAATTAACTTGAATATCTTGTGTTTTTCAAACTTATTCTATATGATTTTGTTATTTTAAGTAAATTTCTTGTGTTTGAATCTTTCAAAAAGGAAAAAAAGAACTGTAATGGAAGTACATGAATATCGGATAGATGAATGAACATAATCAACAATCAAATACACCCTTTTCCCGTAATTTGTTGCTACCCACATATCAACAATTTTCATCTCACTATTTAATCCACCAACATCTAATCAACATTCAAATCATAAATAAATAAAAGAAGTTTTATCGAGTTCTTTTTCTCACGTTGTTTTTTTTCCTTCCGAATAACAACTAGAGGAAAAGAACTCCCTAAATAAAAATGGTGGGATTCGGAGGAACAAACGAAAAATGTGCAGTTTGTGAAAAGACTGTATACCTAGTTGATCGGCTAGTTGCTGATCATCGGACTTATCACAAAGCTTGCTTCCGATGCCATCATTGCAACCGTACCCTCAAGGTCCATTTCTTTTTTCTATATTACAATTTTTTTAAGTATTAACTCACTCTGCATATTTTCCATTCTTCATTTCATGAACCGATATTTCTTGTATGTTACATCATATATATATATATATATATATATATATATATATATATATATATATATATATATTGCTTAAATCTTAAGCAAAAGGTATGTATATATGGTAACATGGTGAGGGCCAATTAATGTTTGATTGCAGCTTAGCAACTACAATTCCTTCGACGGAGTGGTTTACTGCAGGCCACACTTTGATCAGCTCTTCAAGAGAACTGGCAGCTTGGAAAAAAGTTTCGAAGGTTTAATTCATAATATTATTTATTAATAAAATCTTTTTGTGAAAATTAAATACTTATTTCTTAATTCTGCTTCATGTAATATCTCAGGAACACCAAAGTTCAAGGTAGAAAAGCCTGTTAACGCCGAGGTATATATATATATATAACATATATATTTATCGATCCTTTATTGTGACGATCTATGATCGCGTTGAGCGAGCATAATCATATACGTTGTGTCGTGGTGACAGAATGCAAGCAAAGTGTCGAGTATGTTCGGGGGCACACAAGACAAATGTATCGGGTGTGGCAAGACCGTTTATCCTATCGAACGGGTATGTATATGTATATATTATATATATATATATATATATGTATGTATGTATATGTATATGTATGTATGTTGAATTGAATTGAATTGAATTGGAAATGGATGAAACAGGTTAAGGTGGATGGAGCTGCATACCACAGAAGCTGTTTCAAGTGCTGCCATGGAGGGTGCACCATAAGCCCATCAAATTACATTGCTCATGAAGGGAAGCTGTATTGCAAGCACCATCATATCCAACTCTTCAGGAAGAAAGGAAACTACAGCCAGCTTGAAGACGACGAAGCTCCTGAATCATCATCAGCATCATAAATTGATATGAATTCAAATAAAAGAAAGCATTGTGTAGCTCCATCCATCTACTGATTATAAAATATATGAATGAGCAATTGATTGAGTAATTGAAGGATATATATTTTGTTTATCTGGATTATATGTAATAATGTGTTTCTGTTCTTAACCAATACGAATGCTTCTAAATTCTATTCGCACAAAACTAATACAGCTTTAGCCCCCAAAAGGGTAAAATTGTCAAATCATCTTTTTTTTTTTAGTAAATTACGGATTTGGTCTTTTTGGTTTACACTTTCTACCCATAATGGTCGTGAAATCAAAGTAAATACAAATTTGGTACCCCTGATATGCATTCCCGCACTCGTTGAGTCCCTTTCATAATGAAATCGAAAAGATTCCATTAACCTAGTTAAAATAAGAGGATATTTTAGTCTTTTTCATAATCTTGTCTTTATCCTTATTAAGAATTAAAAATATATATATTTTATATTAATTATAGTATATATAATACATTATTTTGACACACACACACACATATATATATATATATATATATATATACACATATATATAAATATCACTGATAAAAAACTACAAGAGTGGTGTCTGATTGGTTTGAGCTTGGCTCCAAAAGTCAAAAGTATCAGGAGGTCTCAAGTTCAAATCCAAGGAGGAATAAAAATCCCCTTGTGGCCACGGATGTTCAAATGCGATGACTTCGGGCTATCTGCAAAGCAGATGGTCGCTTTGGGATTAGTTGGCTCGCATAACGGGTTGAATATTCATGTTAATAAAAAAAAATCACTGATAAAACCTCCCAACCAACACCTCACCCTCTGATCTCCGATGTGCCCCCAACGATGCCGGTCTGCAATCCCTCATCACCATGAGCCAACATCGACTTCGTCATCCACCACCTATTTCTCCAAGGTGCAAGTACTGTTACGGGGGGCTAAAAATGGCGGTGGTTGTTTTTTGTTTTAGATCCGCATATACAAGGGGACGAGACCGTAAATGGAAAGAAGCCAAAGTGATGGCTGGAGAACTCAACGACTTACTTTTTCCCCTTATGTCATGGGATAACTGTAATCTTATAGCGTTTTCAATACACAATAATTGTAACACTACGCCAAACTTTCCAAAGACATAATGTGAGAAGTCTAACGTTGTTCACTTAAATTAAATAGAAAGATTGTTCTATATTTTCAAGTCTTAGCAATTTATTCTCAAAGATTTAATATATTAATATTAATTTATAGTTTTTCATTATTAATTTTAAGTAACATGATCTTACGACCACCGAGTCAAACGGGTATTAATTCCATTATGTAAGTCTTTTGAAAAATCATCTAAATGATATCGTTTTATGCACCCCCATGAGGCCCCGTTGAGGCATGCTTATTGATCAAAGGGTTTTGGCTTCAATCTCAACTCTTTTGTTGTTATATACACTTCATCTTCACGAAAACATATTATAGCGTAACCTTCTTGTTCATCTCATTGAGTTTGGAAGCCTGAATATATAAGCAGTGAAAAGTTAGGGTAATGTGAGAATGATATCAAATCATCATGCCCCATATGCACTGGGCGACACATGTGTTACGTTGACCTCAACAAAGAGTTGCAATTAGGGCTGTAAATGAACCGAACGTTCAGCGAACCGTTCGTATTTGAACCTCCATGGCCACAAGAGGATTTTTATTCCTCCTTGGATTTGAATCTGGGACTTCCAGGTACTTTTGATCTTTGGAGCCAAGCTCAAACCAATCAGGCACCACCCTTGTGGTTAATACGTACCATATTCAAATCTTATTAAATAGAACATTGCGATTTGATGGTAAATTTTGACCAAGTTCAGAGTATCTCATGCTCAAATATATAAACCTTCTAGTAATCGCGTGTATTTGATTCAACTTATTCACACCTCGACTTATCTTATAAGACCCTTAAAAATAACAAGGAAAATCCCATGGTCATCTTAATAGACTTAAACTGATGATCTAGCATTTGTTTACTAGTTGTTCTCGATCTTAGAAAAAAGTTCACGAATTTATTAACTTTCTATTTTAAATCTTAAAATTTAAAATTAAATCAAGAGTGAACTATATTTTTCGTCCATATGGTTTAGCAAAACTTCGGTTTCCATCCCCTGATTTCACTATGCCCATGTGATTTGCATTTTGCTTTACCAAAACTTCGGTTTCCATCCCTTGATTTCACTATGCCCATGTAATTTGCATTTCACTAGACTCAAAACAGGTTATTGGGTCTAGCAACCGTTTAAAATTTTCATTAAATGCCATAACGTGCCCCTCGTCCCTCGAGTAATGGACGTTTTGGTCATTTTCTCAGTTTTATTTGCATACAAATATTTAATTCGAAGATACAAGTATTTTAAAGCTTAAAGAAAAACACAAACTAAACCCATCACCACCATCTCCTTCTCCATGGAAGCAACAACAATCACATCCTTCCAGTGTCGATCCAGAATCTTTGTTCTATGGAGTCACCTTTAAGATAGACTAAAGACCCGCAAAATCGTCCGATGTGTTTTTAACCTAATTACAACGTTTTCGAGGGAATTATAAAGTTTTTTGGTTGATTTCGAGGGATTTTTTAGTGTTTTTGTCGATTTCGAATAACTTTTTTGGTTTTTTTGATTGATTTCAACAAAAAAAATTGGTTAGAGTAACAGTTTCGATTGAGGTTGAGGGCCCGTTTAAAAAATGTAATGGGGGAAGTGAAAGGTAAATCATGTAAAACCTAAATTTTAACCATGACTTTTTTTGAGTTTTTGACTGGAGTCCCTTCCCCGCTCCTTTTTACCATTGCATCCGCCCCTGCATCCTTCCCATCTCTGCACAGCACCTCGAGGGTTTTCTTCGAACTTTCCGACAGTAAACATAGGTCGAGGCATCAATGATGGAATGGTTAGGTGTTCCATTGATATTTTTGACGATAAAAATCGACAGACTAGTTGCAGGTTTCTTCAGGTTTTTCGACCATAAAACAAACAAACACAAATCAAGGTTACGACTTTCTTCAATTTTTTCTCCATCTTACATATCCAAACAATAATGGGTTCAAATCGTAGAACCCTTTTTCAAATGAATCTGCTGCATTTAGTGTGCTAATGAATTGACAATGAGAGGTGAATACAAAATAAATGAATTTATGCAGTTCAGCATGCACTGTCCACCAACAACAACAGCACCCATTGTTTTATTATTCTATCTATTAACTCCCCTAATTGTTCAACAAAAAACTAACCATATTTGTTCATTTACCAGCACTAGTTGAACCAACACTTCCCAACAATATTTACATCTGCAAACTTTGTTTGTCCAACATCTATAACAGATCCTCTTGATATGCCCATTTCTGTCACGTACGAATCATCTGCAACAAGTTTCAAGAATTACAACCAGTTCCAATTTTAATTTTTACAGACGATGGCATACATACATATATATTACCCATCAACAGTGTTTCGTGTTTAGGGTTTTAAGATATAGTTGAAAAGTCATTGGCCAAGATTCTCTGCAAGATGAGTCACCGAGCACTGAAAACATCTTGCACAGCTCAGAACGGATGTTTTGTTTAGCTACTGGAAACTAAAGACTCCTACAAGATCTGAAACACCATGCCACCTCATACAGAATGGTCAAATTAGCACCAGTATATATATCCTCCATGAAATGTAACTTAAACAATATAACTGTTTTTCCTACAAATGCACTCAACCAACTTCACCAAAAAGGCTGCATGCATAATGGGTAGCAAATAAGGCCCGTAAAAACATTGTCACCCGGAGCAACTCAAGCAAATGAGTTAGCAGCTTGTGGAAAAATAAGGGAGTAGGTACCAAAATGTCTTCAAGTATTTATTAACTAATTTAGGGGCTGTTCGGTTGGATTTACATCAAATCCTGTATAGATATAGCTGACTGTGTGGATGAATCTGTTTGTACAGATTGGAAGGGTTTTTATTTGGGAGGGTATTTTCATAGATGGAAAGAGGATGTTCTTACTTGGTAAGGGCAGGTTTGGCAAAAAAAACTTGACTTTCTGCATAAAGCTCCCTCCAAAATCTTATCGAATAAGCCACTTTCTATATCACTAAGCCCCTCCCAAACAGTCATGTATGGCTGCCCAAATACGTTGTGTCCCGTCAAGCTCATTAATTGAGAGAAGCTCATTAATTGAGAGAAGCTCATTATGTGCATCGTATTATTAATCATAAAAGAATGGAGTAGTAGTAAGTCGATTGATGTTTTTTACCAGCCTCTGTGTGGTTCTCCCTTTCAGAGTCTTCATTGCTGCCTCTGCAAAAGCTTGAGCAGCTTCTGCATCAGCCTCGGCTGCCTCTGCCTCCCTTGCTGCTTCTTCTGCTTCTGCTATGGCAGCTTCAGCCTCTGCAACAGCTTGAGCCGCAGCTGCAGCAGCCTCCTGTGGAGTCATGCTCCTCATCTTTTGCAGTTCCAAGTCAATCTGAGCTTTTGTAGGAACACTGATTTCATCCTTATCAACTTTGGGAGAACCCACCTTCTGCCTTCCCTCCAGACGTAACATCGTAGGGATCTTTTTCTTGTCAGATAATGCATTGGCAGAGGCGATTCTATATTTGCGTTTTGTCTGTAACAGAAAACATCCAACAAATATAAATATTCCCACTGAAAATGTTGAGAGAAAACCAAAACCAGCATAACCAGTGGTAAGAATATATCGGAGGTTTGAATTCCAAATAATTCAAGAATATCCATACATCAACAGAAATAACATCTAAATACCAGATTTCTTTCTTACTTTATTTTGATCTCTAGGTTGACTATTTTTTTTTAAAATGCTATTTGGAGAAATTCTGAAAGTCTATGCTAGAAGTATATCAAAGATGCATGTTTAGATGGTGCATTTGTGTGTGTATGGTTATGCAATTGTGCCGATGTACGTCTGTGCATCTAGGTTACAATATCAACTAATTCAATAAAACATATTCCAACAAATACTTCAGAATAAGCTATGGATGAACTTAGAGAAGCCAGTTACATGGATATAACTGAGTATGATTGTAATAATGAACTTGTGATGCAGGAAGATAGTTGATCATCCAGTAAGATGTGATACTATCATAATACATGTAACATACTGAAGAAAGCTAACTGTTCAAATTAACCATCAACAGTTTCAGTCTTATCCACACCAATGTATCTCCTTCATCCCATCCACTCCTCTCAATAAACCAAGAAAAGATGGAAATATGGAAGCCAGATGATGAGTCAGAAAATATAGAGTATCATCAACCAAGTCCACATATATCAATATTACTAATTTATGACCAAATAAGAATTAGACGATGTCAACAAGAAAATTTCATGCGACTATATCTCCATATCCCACAGTAAGTATTAGTTTAATTCTGCATAAAAGTGGATAAAGAAGGCATCTAGAACCATGTGGATTATATATATATATATATATATATATATATATATATATATATATATATATATATTTCTCTTGACAAAGATTTTGCATAACCCCTAAAGCATTCCTTGATTTGTCATTTCGAAATGTAAGTACATCTGCTACTAAGGATAGTTTTATCCAAACACCAGCCCCGGCACTAAATCAAATCCATGTAAAGGAAGAGCTTGCTGTGACTAACGCTGCCTAAAATACTGTGGCACATGTGACCTAAATTTTGAAATGGTGAAATAGCTATTGCATTTTGGCAACTGCAATATTGCATATGAAGAAACAAAATAAGAGCATTCACTTGCATAACAAGTTTACTTCCAGCTTTTGCATTAAAGAAAGTATAGGCATAGTAGAATTCCGTCTTTTGGAAAGATATGAGTAAGGGTTTCGGAGAGATATGTCTACAAAACCCTTTAATATACATAGTCTAACTTAAAGTTGCTATATTGGAATTGTATAGAATTGGCCTACAGCAAATTCTGGATGGGGCAAAAAGAGTTGCATAAAGCACCGTCTATTCTCCCCAAACACAGCAGAAGCAGTTTGTCAAAAGGAAGAGTGATTTAGATCACTGCATCACTTCAGGGCGGACTTACTAGGCTATCTTCCTGTGAGACAACTGAGTTAGGGTAAAGAATCGACATAACAAATGAACAGGAGCGCTAAGATCTTTGGAAATGAACTCAACATCATAGGTGAGGCAAAAACATATGCCTTTGACACCAGATTACGAGATTAGAAGGTGTTATCTCTAACAGAAGGCATCCAGTATGACATACTTGCATTACAGCCTTGGTACTTGGAAACCTTTTGCTACAAGCACAGAGCACAATTCTCCAAAACCAACGGGTAAACCACTTGCATTAGAAAAGGGTAGGCTTTGGCACAAGTATTTAAATTTGATAAATTAAGCATACAACTCAAGAAGCCATACAGTATCTGACAAAATAACAGGATTATCCTGCCATTGAAGAGACTAATATATCCTACTCTCCACAATAAAGAGGCTTCTTCAGTAATGCAAATGCAGAACTTACCAAACAAACAATCCAGATGATTATGGAGACTCTTGAATATAGAAACAAGAAAGGAATTTCCACAATTTACAATAATCTTCGCAATGTCCTACAGTCACCAAAACAGAGGCTAAATCTACATTGTTCACAGAATTTAGGACAAGAAATTTTCATCAGTTCCTTCATTCAAGGTATAAATGGTATTCTCACATAAACTGAACATATTTCCTGGCCAACTGCAATAACTTGCTTCATCTAATCCAAGTAAATTAGCAACAAGATGTTGGCAAATATGGTTAGCCATCAACAGTAAATGGCATGTGCTATTTAATAACACAAATATACCTTGACAAGTTTGCCGTTTGCAGTCAGAAACTTCAATTTCATTGACAGAAGTCTCTTAAAATTTGGGGGTGCCCAATACTGTTCCTGCAACATCAGAGACAAACAATGTCACTGAAAAGTGGGACTAGAAACATTTACTTCATTAGACCAAAGACAGGCTGGTAATAACAATCAAGCTACACAGCAAGAAAAAGCATGGCACTGTTGTCAAAAAATATCATTAGAGGATTATAATATTAAAGGCAGTAACAGAAAGTTAGTTGGTAGACTAGCGGTTGTAATTTAATGATTTATCACTACTCGATCATAAATTTTGTAGGGGATTATAATATTACAGGAAAATCTATAAGAGGTAGAATTTCTGCTTTGGTACTACAAACAACAGCTGAAAATTCTAAATGTCAATCATGGGGTTTAGTTTGAGCATCATGGTCAAATCTACTTTGGCGGCAGCAAGGTAGCCTTAAGATGGAGGCAGCAAAGGAGCTCAGGGATGTGATGGGAAGAGAGCATTTGTGATAAAATTTAGGTATGAAGCAGATAAGCATAGGAGAGATCTTTTATTTAATTGAAATAGCATGACACTATGAAACTTTCAACTTTTCATAACTAGTTGGCATGACACATGAAATCAAACATGCACATGCCACATGAAATCTGACACCAGAGTATACAATAGAACAAGAGAGACCGGAAGTTGTCAATTGGTCGACGACATGTTGGGCTTTTTGATAATTAAACCTTTATTACTTGGTTAAAGAAAATAAAGAATAAAAAACCACTATCCAGAAGCATAATAAGAGACAAACAAGATTTCCATGAAGGAGGCTACACAAAGCCTGATACTTGATAGTATACCAAAAAGATGTTTTTCTTATAAGCGGAGAAGTTGATTAGAGTAGGAAGGTTTTTATATTGAGAATCCATAAATTGGATTGAATGAAGTTTGATTTACCAAACTGCAACGTATGAGATGAATCCCTGAAATCACTCAGGATAATACTGCCAGTAGGATCAAGCCAGTGAAAATAAGGGCGACTCAGATAGTCACTTCTCAAGCTTAAATTACAGGAACTACTAACTTCAATGCACATTAGAGATATTCTGTTAATAAAGGTATATTTGTAGATGTGTATGTCACTTACAACGATGATGAAGAAATATATATATACATATATATATATGTGAGATATTATAATAATGGCAATGGTTACAAAATCAACAGCTTTTTCATCTCTTGACACCACTAGTTCGATGGTCCGACTGTGTATCTCTATAGTAACAATTCCATATATATAGGGTCAGGGTCAGGTTCAGGGAAAAACCACAAAACCTTGAAACTTGGAAATCACCCTTTATTTAAACTTTTTTAACTTAAAAATGAAAATTACTTATATGCATATGTTCATACCATCCAGATGAACGGCTACGAGCATGTTATACACATGTGCATAACATGCATACATGCATAAAAACCAAGAAACAACTTCAATTACTTGTATGCACATGTGCATACCGTCCAGATAAATGGTTACCAAGGTGTTCCTTAGTTTTTCATTTTTTTGGGGGTTTTCCCCTGAACCTCCCTCCCTCTCTCTCTCTCTCTCTCTCTCTCTCTATATATATATATATATAGGGTTGGGTTCACGTGAGACCAGGCTGTTTTCCTGAGACCCGTGCGACCACATTTTTACACTTGAAACTTCACAGCAAAAACACTGTGAAGGTTTAAAAAAGTCGAACCTTCACAGCAAAAACACTGTGAAGGTTACCTTCACAGCATTTTGCTGTGAAGTTTCACGTGTAAAAAGTTGGTCTCACGAAAACAGGCTGGTCTCACGTGATCCTAAGTCTATATATATATATATATAACACGTTTCAAATACTACCTATCCTATTTGTATAACCAATACAACATTAATCTAAACAGCCATTTTATTTAAAAAAAATTCAGTTTTTTTAATTGATAATTGGTAACTACCTTTTCCACATCATCAAATGCTGACCATAGATGAACTAATTGATGGTTAAGATGAGGTTGCACTGGTTGTACAAATGGAATGGGTTGTAAAATAAACCACCTATATATATATATATATATATATTGCAGCAATATAGAGAAGCAAAGTATTATAAGAAATGTGTATCACTCATGAACTATATGTTTAGTTTTACCGTAACAACCTGATGGCTGAGAACTCACAAGATGGTCTGAGCCTTACGCACCGGACCATCTTTCAGTTTCTAATTTATAGGTAAAGCTATAAACCAACACAGATACCTCTATGTATGTGCCGATAGTAGTCTTATTAGAGCCACCAGGCTCCTTCAAATTGTTTATTGCCTCCATTATAAGATTGTCCAACCTGTAAAAGACGAAGGGAAGCAAAAATATAATCATCAATACTATCATCTAGGAAAAAAATTAATTGTGATTGACAAGAAGAGATGCCAAATGTACAACAAGAAGTGCATTTGCTACTACCCTTCGCAAATTGAATACCGTATATACAATGCAGTATGAGTTATCTTATCCCTATGTGATTGCTGCTGCCACAAGCTGGCTTTTGTTAACTATCTTCTTCTCTTTCCCTAAATCACAAAGTCATCCACTTAAGCATCTAAGAATCTCAGGTAGTACAAACCTCAATTGATTTGGAAGAAGCCTGTTGTGCTTTTACGATAGTGCCAGATGAGAAAATGTCAATTCTCCATGACAAGTATTCTAACCAATACTACGGTTTACCCCTCCGTTGCAAGCTCAATTACAGTCTCATTAGCAAAGAATCATGCTTGTTACTTCTTGCATACTTTTTCCAGGTTTAGAGGGTCGGTCTTCTAATTGTGACAAAGTACATTGGAGACAAATCTTAACTCAAAGAATCGGCTAGCCTCCAATACAACATATACTGCTTAGACTATGATATCTTATTTGTGAATCTTGTGCTTATACCTTTTATGGACCCCGGAGGGTACTCCATCCTATCAGAAAACACGAAATAGTATGCCTGATGGATATGCTTGATATATATATATATATATATAGAGGAGCGTTCAAATGAAAACCGCCCCCATTTGTGTAAACCGTGTAAACCAATCTCATCCATCCATTTTCTTGATCAATGGTCAAGATCAGTTTACTTTATTTTTGGAAATTAAAAAATATATATATTAAAATTTTATTTTTATATTAGCAATAAGGGCAAAATGGTAAACAAAAATACATTTTCTGTAACATCCTATTAAAGGACATTATTCTTTATTTTAGGAAATTAAAATTTTTTATTTGTTAGGAAATAATTTCGCTAATGCAGCAGCCTTTTTATTCCTTATCCTGAAATCGTTTCAATGTCCTTCACACACCCACGTAAATATGCACCCTATTCATTATGAAATTATTTCAAGATGCACCGGTTTCATCATGAATCCATTTTAACATGTAATTATTTCATGACAAACCGCATACATTATGCACCCGTTTCATTTTGCATTTCACCTACTAAATGGATCAACTACACCATCACTGAAACGGGTTTCACCATCAAACCAGTTCACTACTCATTGTTCAATTACGCCATGAACTAGTTTCACCTTCATGAAACTTGTTTCATGTACATAGATTAGTTTATTTCGCTCCTGATTTGATGAATTCATTCCTTTAATCCTTACAATCTTAAAGATTCTGTAGCAGATTACAATATATATATATATATATAGTTCACACGGTTTCTTAGAAATGCACGGTTTTCATTTGCCCTATATATATATATATATATATATATTTTAACTTAACTGTGGCTGCAACAGATATATGCCCCCTGTTTATCTGAGTTGGAAAGGAGAAACAAGCAGGCTTCCCCCTAATGTGTCATTATCTGGGTTCTTGCACAGGCCAAATTAGTTATATGCCAGTGTCTCTTGCATCCCAACATATCAAATTATTAATTCTCCCTTACTTCTCAAGGCCCCAAAAATGAAATAAAAATTGATAAGCAAACAGATTCTCAAGCAGAAGTTTGATGTAATATATAATACAATGACAGTTTTTCAAGGAAAAAGCAATGTAGCATTCCTTTTTTCTTTGAGAAATAACCATAGCTGAGTTTACTAACAGAGGGATTGGCTTATCATAGTGATTAGAGGATGCCTGTGATCACCTCATTTTAAATGCGACACGTTGCCTCCTAGTTCCATCAACAGATCAATCAAGTGGAGGGTGTCTATTATTCTTGCAAGGAGACAAAGTAGTCTCCTGTACTAAGTGAACCCTTGGTCTGGATGTCTTTGTGACCAGTCCTTTCTATGTCCATAGTCAAGAAGGATAACTGCGATCATACTTGACTGCAAATGATAAACTAGAGGGCTGCTTTATGATATAAGCCAATAAAAATCTTCCATCATGATAGAAGGGTCCATTGGGATCTACCTATTGCAAAGTGATTTGGGTTTGATATCCACTGTTTGGAACATGTTGTGATGGTTTCCCATAACTACGTGTCATCTTGGAGATGGTGAAAAGATTTCATTTTAGTTGTCAAGTACAGTGTTCCAAAAACAGATTTTTTTGTCAAGGAATTTGGAAGGAATAATAAAAACTTGAAGGTTTGGGAAGTAAAATGGATAAGGCTTCTTGACAAATCAACAAGCCCGTCTATCCATGTGTTTAAAACACCTAGACCAAATTGAATTAACTTAAGAATCTTAACTGTAATACATATATCAAAAAGGCACGAGCATAGTACTACTGACCAACCCTGTGAACTTCCCAGAACATGTTCATCATGCCTTGCCTAGGAAACTATAGCCAATATCATAGAATAATGAAACATGCTGTAGATAAGCAATTAAGCTACACTCAATTCTTTCCCCTTGGTCAACATCTATGATGTCAGTGTGTGAGCAAAGGCTGCGAGCAGAGGTGGTTTTAGAAGTTCTACATACTCAAGTTCATTTCACTGAGTGAGAAACTTTTTGTTGATAGCTCCTAGCCTCTGCTTTCAAATTATCGTGCCTCCATCTGCAATTTTTTTATGCTTTTGTCCCAGTTACTTCATGTGTGGAAACAGCATGATGTATATAATTACAAATTGTAGACAAGTTATGATACCAATAATAACAAAAAATCACATAGATAAAAAGTAGTGTTCAAGAATCAGTGAATAGCAACGTGAAATTTCGTAGATCTGAATAAGTAACAGCAACAAGGGCCCATTATAACTGCATTAGTTTATATTGCCAATATGTAGGCATTGACTATTTTTCGACCTAGCTATTATGAATGACAACATTGTCTAACCTTATCATAGATCTCTTGGAACCACCAATCTGCGGAGAGCCACTAGAAGACGGAAGAGGCCTAGCATCACCTGAGTCTTCATCACTCTGATCTACAGTAGCAAGTGCCAGAGGGTTGTCGTCCTTGGGGACATGTTGCACTCTTTTTAGAGCTAACCTGGCCTTCTCCCGAGATCCCCATCCATTCGCCATTACACTCATGTTCCTCCATTTGTCCTGGTCCATGCGAAATCCATTAATTAAAAATTATATATTTATATATGACACCATCCAGCAGAAAATGCCAAAAGAAGATCAATTCCAGATAAAAGTACAAGTGCCATGCATCAACATATTGCACATCTCTTCCCAGAAGCATGGGAACATATCCCAGATTTAAAAAGTGAAAAGCTGATGTGAAAGACTGAGGCTTCAAGAAACCCTCAAGGATGCAGCTCTCCGTCCCATGGTTAGGACCACACTTTAGAGATAGCTTTTTAAAACAATAAAAGAGGAAGAAGAACGTCTAGAATATACAAATAGAAAATACTGTTATCTTCTTTGATGTGCTCATGCCTTGAGAAAGTGCAGACCACCAACATGTCCCATACACAGTGAAAGTAATAACCCTCCCAATGAAGTCCTAATTGAAATAAATGACCAGCATGTTTTCTAGTTTCTATGCATCCACTACTTTGGTAAACTAGACAAAATTACCCAACTAATTTGGGGAAGCACAGATAAATGCTTTGTTCAGTTAATTTCAATTTGTGAAAGAAAAATGAAAACCCTGCCAATCTGAGCTACATCGAAGGTGGCAATGAAGTATATAAAAGTTCACTATAACGACATAGCAGTTTCATAATGAACATCCCTAACTTCCAATATAGATTGATTTGGAACGTGAATACAACGGATGACAACTTCGGAAAGAGGAGATATGTCGGTATACCTCCACATAAGAAAAGTGGACAGCTCATAGAGGATGGAGGATATAAAGTAGCCAAAAGGTGAATGTTGCATCACTGATCAATATAGACGTGAAGCACGCACAGGTTGTGGATCAAAGTCGAAGGATATGTTAATGGGTTCTTTTGTACACATAGACCATTACGAGGGAGAGAAGTGTTTAATCCTACACAGAAGAATAGTTTCCCACTCGGACACTTCAACTGAACTTTTCAGATCAAGGTGGAATAAATATGAGTAAAGTACATAATAATAGAGCAAACAATTGTGGTTCGTTTCCAATTATGAGTTTTCCCGAGGAAGAACCAAAATCACAAGGTCAAATAGCCTTCTACAAAATTAGGAATACATGATTCATATATCAGAAATCTCTCTTATATTCTCCCAACCCCACTTCTTTTGAATTTTTGATAATACAGACTTTACATGGGATACTGTAAGTTATATTCAGCCACTAAGCTCCTATAAATACATTGACAAGGCAATCCATATAATGTGAAAAGATGCAAACCTTAAGATCCACATTAGAGCGCAGGTACAACACACTGCTAAATTCTGGATCTTTAAGAATTGTGCGCCATTTCCCTGCTCCATGCTTAAGAACTCCAGCTTTGAGAGCAGCTTCTTCTTCAGAAGTCCATTTCTGCTTAGGAGCACCCATCAAGCCAACCAAAAGTAGCAATGTTCTACCTGTAAAATATATTCATCAGATCAGATAACATTATAATATATACTAATAAGAACAAGAGAGAAGACAATCTATACAAACAGTAGAAAAAGAGTTTTAACCAAATAATTAGACCTGATGGGAGCATGACATATTGACATTAACATAATAAAACACTTCCATTATAAATTGCATGGTGATTTTTAAATGAAAAGAAAATATAATAGACATGGAATATCAAGGATGGTATAGACATCTACAGTAATAGGCTAAAAGAAGAAAATGCAAGTAAAAAAGTTCAGGTGCCTTATAAGTTTATACGATCCATATGTATTATTAATTTATAATGTAATAAACTGTTGAAGAAATCAGATATCCGTGTTTACATATACAAGCCCATCATGAATGGAGAAGAAACCATATAGGGTAGTTCAGTAGTTCCTACCACAATACATATTTCCGTAAGCAATCAATAAGATGCACTTTACTCGATTAGAAATAGACAACAACCTTTCGCATAAGTCATGTTTTAGCTTTAAACAGTGATGTTCATTAGTCATTTGCGGATAAATACCATTCCCTTGAACCAAAGGTACTAGGACAAAATTATGCCATTGCCTGCGAGTATCATGCCTGATCTGATGTTAACCATGCTTCTCATTCATGGAATGCCATCACATGAGATGCTTGCTGGGGTGTAATATATGCCTAAAACTCATGAAGTGGACACTCAATACACGGACACGGGAGAAAGAATGTATAGAAAAAAATGTAGCACAAAAACACTTCATGAACACCTGAAATCGTTTAACACGAAACCAGCATCTATCTTCAGGACAAGCATCTTATTAGATGCTACTTTTATAAGTGCATTGTTATATGGCTAAATTTTGCTTGATTGGATACAAGTAATCCACCCTGCAAATTAACTCCAGGCCTTCTCATGGGCAGCCGTACGAATAAGATAAGCAGAGTTAGGATAGAGAGTACTTGATCATTATCCCCTCATCAACTCTTGATCACCAGACTTGATGACAGTCAAACATTAACAATTTCTGTAATCAATTTACTAAGGAAATCGATTGCCTTCTAAGAAAATAGAAACATAGAAAATACAGACTAGAAGTGAGAGATATGAATGATCTAAAAGTTTTGCAAATGCAGTACAAGCATTGCAAAGACATAGACCTTAATGAGAGCATCAAATTCGATTAAAACTAAATGGTTAGTTCTTACACAAATCAAAACTTATCATGCCCACTGTCCCCGGATTGTTTGCTCCTGCTATCCTAAAAGAAAATCAATTCCCCATCGCAATCTACATTTTTTTAGAAAGAGTCAGGACAGTCACTAACTTACGTGAAGCAAGGGAAACCAATTTTATGTTCTCCAAACATACATAACTCATAGATTAGGCATCCCAAACTTCACTAGCCAAAGTGCAATTTAGCATCTAAATATGACTGAGAAAACCAACAGCGAAATCCTTCAACAAATCCTCCCTTAGACTAATAGAAGTACAAGAAAATCCTGCTAGCTAGACCATGGATCAATAAGTATGCAACGAAACCCTAATTTGCTCAAGGTATCTATGTACTTGTACAATTACACAAATTCCAAGCTAAAATTCCAATCAATCCATCAAAATTTGTATAAATAACAAAACAATTCGTGTATACGAACAGAAATATCACCTAACAGAATCGATCTGTTAATTAATTGATTGAGAAAGAAGGGTTATGAAATTGGGGATTTTTACTCCCTTCTACCTTTGTTGCATCCGGAAGAGTCAGCTCATGCTTGTTCAAGGATGCAGTTATAACAGAAAATTGAAAAGTTTTATAATTTGGTTCCAGATCTTGATCTTGATCTTGATGTTAGTTTTGTGTTCGTGAATAAAAGGGTTTTTGGTTAAGAGACGTGCGCGAAAATTAGGGTTTGGAACCTGGATTTTGAGGGGAATTCAACGTGTTTCGTTATTATTATCTTTTTCTCCCTCGAAAAAGAAAACGCATCGCTGTCATCTGATTCATCACCATTTCTACACACCTACATTTTCATTTTCCCTTACCAAGTTAACCGTTAGGGTTGGGTTCCGATAAGAAGCAGAGTTAAAATTAAAAGCGAAAAAAGGGATCTTTACTTTTGAACGCATATTAAGTTGAGATGTACCAACATGAGATGTATCGGATCAATCCATGTATCAAGCGTGATTCATGGATAGGTTTGATATTAAAGATGATCAAAGATCCATATCCCTTATTACGTTTTTCACCTTAACTTTTCTTCTCACCCGATTTTTCACCTTAACTGTCAAACATATAAAATCCGATTAATTAAACGCACTTTAACATGTGGTTGTTTCAAAACAGGAATTTTAAAAATTCGTTATTTGAGCGGATGATTTTGGTTTACAATTACATATAATATAAAGTAAGAAAAAATCAGTTATATATCTGTGCATTTTGTCTTAAACATAATGATAATACATCTGCTAACATTTGTGGGGTCTGTAACAGGAGGTTGTTTGGGTGTGGATGCGTATATGGATATACTGGATTACAACTTTATTGGTTATTTGTCGAAATTTTTTAGGTTTTGAGCCTTATTTGGTATCTTATTATAGTATGTCTTCAGTGATCTGATGATACATAAATAACTGACTGTTGGTTAACATAATCACTTGATTGTCCACTTATAATAAACGTAATTGTGTCAATTCCAGTTGTGAACTACTGCAAACTTATTTTATAGTTGTAACTAAGCGGGAGACTAAACAAAATTGACGTATAATCCGACTATGTAAAACGAGGACTCTAATTTGGTAATGGACAGTTCATTTTATTCTAATTAATTTTAGGAAATAAAATATCTTTATGTTGGTGCAAAAGTAGCATATTAGAATTCGAATATTTTTTGTTTCATGTTAAAGGGTTTTAGGGGATGTTTGGGATTGCTTATTTGAAATAACTTATGTTTTTTTACAAAAACATTTATCAACTTATTATAAGTTATAAGGGTTTAACTTCTTCAAAAACTTCTTATTACCAGTTTAGAACGAGTCGACATACATGCTCAATATGGTCTTAATTTGGTAATTATTCATCTTAGAAAATATAAATACGTAGAAGACCTCGTGTCATTGAAAAACGTCAAAAATGTTGTTGAAAATAACCTTCCATACGGGAATATTTTTCCTACATAGGAAGAAGAAATTGATTGTCGATTTATATAACCGATCTTGTTTTTCTATTTAAATGGTTTAGTTTAGTAAATGAACTACGGAAGTTTGGGCCTCACGATGTTTGGTTAATACGATTAGGCTAACAAAAATACATTTGCAATCAAATGACTTGCATTTAACGTCGCAGATTGTGGTTAAGTTATTGGTTTAACTTCGTTTTCTTGCATAATTAACCAGTATTAGGCAATGATACACGCCTTATGTTTTATATACAAAACAACTGATTTAAAAAAAAATGGTGTGTTAACGAGAATGGATCGATCTCTTAAACCAGTGTAAAACAATGATGTTGAGTTTGGGTTTGGATTTAGGTTTGAACAGTGAAATTAGGTATTATTTAAAAATTAGTCTTTAAGTTAATTACGAGTTAAGGTTGATATTTAGATCTAAGGGGTCGTTTACCAAACGCTTACCCAAGTAAGCGCTTACCAAGTCACATTACCTTATCGAATGAATAATAAGAACCAAGAATCTTACTCGGTAAGAACGAGACAAGGACCAAAAGTCTTACCCGGTAAGTGATGGCGACGACTCTTACCACGGTAAGCACTTATTGGGTAAATTGTTGCATACGATATCGTTTTGATGGACTAAAATCTTACCTGATAAGTAATTAATAGTATTAAATTTTACTGATAAACACTTACTTGGTAAGTGTTTGGTAAACGGCCCCAAATAAATATTGCATCATGAACGAAATATGGCTTGAAAGCAAGGCTGGCTTATCCATTAAGCCTTGAGGTTATTAATGATATCATTTTAAGGTGTATTTAATGATTTGCAGTAAATTTTATTTATTTATTTGTTCTTAAAAAATTATTATTATTATGTTTTTATTTTCATTAAGCTTTCTAAATGTATACTTACCTCAACTTTATTATATTTTACTAGAAAATATTTGTGCGCAATGCAACAAGATTAATTTTGATTTTAATATTCTGTTTTATTCTTTATTTCAGTCGATATTATAGTATGGTTTTATGTGATTTTGAAAAGGCGATGATATTTTTATTTTTGAATAAAATATAAACTTGAAGATATCATAAAAATTTGACAAAAATATATCGATATTAGTATCAAATTAACTATTTAAAATTCTTGTTTTTTGTGTAGTTTTTTAATTCAATTTTTTTATTATAACTTAATTTAGGTTTAATAACGAAGTAATTTATATTTGGTTTAGTACTATACTTTTTTTATAAATATGATAATTAATTATTTTGTTAGATTTCGATAATTATCTTAATTATATTTTAGATTTTTTAGATTTTAAAATGAGATGTTTATTATCTATTTGATTATGTTTATTCTCAGTTAGTTACACGAATTCAAACATGGAACTTTAATAAGTTGTACTTATGCATAATTTACTTGTAATCTTGAATTTTAAGTAATATGCATCAATATACAGCACTTCATGCATAAAAAATGGTTTTTTAGAGTTTTTGTCAAATGTTTTATAATATAGCATATATATATCTTTTTCCTTTTATTTTTCATACTAAGATCAAACTCATTGAATAAAATTTGAAAAGTTGAAGGATTACTTGATCATATCTAGTGACAGACGTAGAAGTTTTGTCGAACGAATATACATTTAAGGTGGATTTGAATAAATTACTTTCTCGTAAGAGTTGCAAATATGTAATTAAATAATGATGAATGTTGGATTTAGCAACAAAAACAAGCGTAAAGACCTGTTTATCCAAACACTTATTCGGTAAACGTCTTCTGGTAAGATTCAATATTATTATTTACCTTATAAGAGAAGATCTTAATCCATCAAAACGACATCGTATTTCAACAGTTTACTCGGTAAGAGCTAACCGAGTAAGAGTCGTCACCGTCACTTATCGGATAAGACAATCGATCCTTGTCGTAGCTCTTACTTAAGATTATTGGTCATTCTCATGTTCATCCACTAAGATAATGCGACTTAATAAACACTTATTATATAAGCTTTTAATAAACAGACCCTAAATCCGACAATTCTAAGCTCAAAATCGCATGAATTGGGATACTTTGTTGAAAAATCGGGTTAAAGAGTGGTTAAGCTTTTAGGTGTGGGCCAAGATGTTGGGCCGTTTATGTTGGACAAGTAGTTTGGTTCATGGACACAAAATGGATCCAAAGGCCCAAAAGCTTTAGGTTGGCCTGGGGAATATCAGTTATAGGGGCGGGATGAGGCGAAGTGGGCCGGATTTAGATCAGATATCAGTTTACCAAATACTTTCTCGAGTTTGAGTCGAATAATATATTTTAAATCAGGTCATGAGCTCTGTAAATCAAACATATAGATTTTGCCGACCTAGGTGAAAAATGTAAAAAAGATTTGCGGACCTGACTGGAAAAATGTAATTCTTTTTTGTAGATAGGGATAGAAATTGTAATTTTCTTTTGTCGTTTAGCTGGTGGGTTTTTGCGTACCTGCGGCTATTTTGATAAATTCAAAGAGAAAATGACTAAAAGGTGAAACCAACCATAAAAAATGATTATTTTAATAAATTTTCCTAAAATAAATGCATGAACATTTATGGTAAATTTAGTAATTAGTATGTCAGTACACAAAAATATTAACAAATGAATATCGGGGTAAATGTTATATGTTCGAACATGTTTTTATGTCTGAAAAATAGTTGTGCTTAAAAAACCGATCAACCCAATTCGAAAAACCCCCGGAAATATCAACTCGAGATAACCCGGTTTATAATCGGTACAAAATTGGGTTGAAATCAGGTTAGGTCCAAAGTAACCCGACCCAACCCGATAACCCAATGAGATGTTGTACTATTCAATTTTTTAGAGGCTTCTCTAAAATCATTTGATCCAACTTCAGAAATTAATTACAGGGCTTCTTCAATCGATTCAAAATTTATCTTCTTCCATTTCTAGCTACAAACAACATCGATTACAAATGTTGTTCAAATTCATGGCTCAGGCAGTCGATTTCCGTCGGGCATCGATTCCTAATTTCAAAATTTCCATCAAGTTTTGGATAGCTACAAGAACGAATAGGTTTGTTTGATTTAGACATTGTTTAGCAAACATAAGCTAGCTTATAAGTTATCTTGTTTTTTAAGTAATCGTTTGAATGCACATAAACTAACTTATAGCTCATAAACTAGTTTATTGATAAACTATTTGGAGTAACTTATGAATAGCTTTTTGATACTTTTTCCATTCCTGTGACCATGATTAATATTAATTATTATTATTATTATTAATTATCCATAAATATCAATTTATAGTAATTAAAATCTATTAATTAATTTTAACTACATACTATATATTAATTATTATTATTATTTATTTTCCTCCCTTTGAGTAGTG